AATGAAGAATTATGACATAACATTCTTCTCGTAATTCGACACTATTACGAGAAATGTTCGATCAGATGTCATTCCTTACCTTCCCCTTAGTCCTGTTCAGGGATCCGTTTTTGACGCTGGCTGCATAATTTTCCTTCCTTTGCTCGACCCTCTCTCTCCACCTCCTCCTCCCCTCCTTCCCCCTCCTCACCATTAAATTCGAACTATACACAATCCTTCTTAAACTCCAAAGGAAAAAAAAATTTCATCAAAATGAATGCCACCATGTGGATAAGTGTCTTTTTATTTATCCTTGGTTTCGTTAATCTTGCGATATCGCAATCATCCAGCGTCACTCCGCGATACGGCCACACGGCGACTATAGTCGATAATACCTTATATATAATAGGAGGGAACTCTGACCAAAGTACCTTTATATCAGAGATGATTACCATCGACTTGACACAGTCATTTAATACTACTGATCCCGATTGGGTTGTAGTAAATTCAAAAGACATACCGAAAGTTAGTGGACATTCTGCTGTGGTCGGCGGAGCATCTTTGAAGGAAATTGTTGTCTTTGGAGGACAAGCACCAATGCCAATGGCTCAAAAAAGTCTTTTCGTTTACAGCACTGCAAATAACACTTGGGATAACATACAACTTCCCCAGGAGCCTGTGCGTCGATATCATCATTCGGCGATCGCTAATGCAATGGGTCACATGATCGTATTTGGCGGGATGATAGATTCGAGTGTAGGTGCAGTAGCTTCCTATGTTGCAGACGATTACTGGATATTTGACACTGTCATGTTAAATCAATGGCGTGGATTTCCGTGTATTTCTACTACGCCTGGAAGGAGACGACGGCATACTGCAAGTGTAATTGGGACGAAAATGTTTATTATTGGTGGGATGTCTGAAAACGGCAATCTTACGGATTTGGATGGTTTGTATGTATATGATATGATTTCAGCCGTCTGGTCGTCGCAGTCTGTCGCAGGCCCTATTCCGAAAGCGAGATGTGATCACAGTGCTGTTGGTGAGTTGGAATATCTAATTGCCAAAAGTTTCCATACATTGATATAAACTAATACGTGTCATTAATAATAGTCTATAAGGATACAATTATAATATATGGTGGGACGGCAATTGAAGGTGATGCATTCGGTGATGTCGCTGTGTTGAATACGACATCTTTATCATGGACTTTACCAGATACGGTAAACCCTCCGCCTCCCAGATGGAAGCACACTGCAAGTATATTTGGTGACAATATGCTTGTAGCCTTCGGTACGACATGTGCAATTTAATTTCGCCTTGTGTTTTGATCTTTTGGTTAATACAGATTGAATTATGTTTATGCTACGATACTAAGTGTAATGATATTTATTTATTCAACTTAGGACGAGTTGGTGCAGGGGCCGACTCGCATATGTATATATTAACAATCAGCAACTGGACATGGATTAACGTGTTTAATTCATCCGAAGACCCCTCATGTAATAATAATCCTGCAAATACACAACCAGCTCCAGTTGTAGAAACGTGGAGCCACAAAAAACTCTGGATAGGACTTATGGCTGGTGCAGCTGTGTTGATCACCGCTCTGTTGGCTATAATATTTATCATTCTCAGATGCAGAAAAGAACCACCAAAACAAACATTCGAAGTCATTCGTCATAATAGCCGTTATAATAATGCGCTTCCCCCTATGTCTGCTGTTGCACCACGGAATCGACCACCCAGTATACAAGTAATAGACTCTCCTTACGCAGATCGATTCTCAGTCCCGTCAACGCCTCTCACCCCAGGCACCCCTGGGACACCTGGAACGCCTGGGACACCAAACTCGTTATGCAGATTACTATCAAATTGGAGTCCACGTGTCTCGAGGCAATTCAATTGCACATCAGATCCACTGCCATCGCCTTCGCTATCCTCTGATGGAGGAAGTAGTATGCTTGATGTTTCACGAGAAATGACTTTGATACGAGGCCCGTTAGAACGATTCGCGGAAGGGTTTGGAAGAAGTCTTGGATCTCTAGATCAAATCGATGGAATTGATTATGATGTACAGACGAGGGATAGTATTATTGTTAATAGGTTGCCCCTTGTTGTAGTTAATCCTGATCGACAGACGGACTTGTCTTCGGAAGAAGAATAGATCATCGCCGAAAAAGGCATAGATACTGTAATTTAGAATTTTGGTACAAACATTGGCGAAAAATAAAATCTCCGATTAAAAATTTACACATAAAGCTGCAGTGTGACCTGATTAATTTTGCATCAATATTTGAGAGCCAATAATATAATTTTCAATTAATATTACATATGAAACTTTATCGGGTTAATCAAAAGATGATCATCGAGTAACCGATTTGTCATGCCAAGTCGCAGAGGTAATTTATTCTGCGAAATCCAACTAAATTCATAACCCTTTTTTTTATTGCACGTCTTTAAAACAATTAAAACACCTCGAACGATTTATATCAAATTTTGAAAGAGATCAGACTGTACAGTATTTAGGCTGACTGTTTAAAAACATTGAGAAGCATTATTACCAAAACTGCTCGTTTATCGGAAAGGAATTTCATTGAGTGGTAACATGGTCGAACATAATGTATTTTATTGGGAAGTTACGCTTTTTATAAAATGTAAATGTTCTATTTTTAACAGCGTCTGTAGCTGCTTTCACCCGGTTGTGTGATATTAATATCGAAATCGTTAATTTGGCAATTTGTGCCAATTTATTCGTTCAAGACTACGATACGGTTCATTGACATTTTACTGTGTTGATAAATTACGGACAAAGTAAGTTTGTTCGAGTAACTACGCTTGGAATGACATCTGATCGAACATTTCTCGTAATAGTGTCGAATTACGAGAAGAATGTTATGTCATAATTCTTCATTTGGCAGGCTCAACTTGAGGCATTAACGCGTTTGGTACAAGTTACTAAACAACAATACTTTACCCTTGTGTCTAGCACAATAAGTAACGTTCCGGACGTGTCTTTTTAAACATTAGACAGAATGCTGTTAATGTGGTTAGTATCAATACTTGTGAAGCTCGTTTGTTGTTTTTTTTCGAAAAAATTTAGTTCGTTATTGCTCTAAAGCTGCGGTTTATTCAAGTGGCTAGTACCGTAAAAATATGCATAATACCACTTCATCAAATTGCGTCTTTACCAGATCAACTGAATTAATTTCGAGCCTTTTTTTTACCAACAAATACAACGAATTAGCTTCACAACATATCAAAATTATTGAAAGTTTTATAATAAGTACGCACAATAATGATTTCAAAATAGAGAAAAATTCGCATTAAGTAAAAGATGTATACAAAATTTGCTCAGTAACCTGTTTCAGTAATAACTGAACGTGAATTTTAGTTTATAATGCCTATACAGTAGTCGCTACGAAATTCATCTTGTTTACGCACTGTTAACATTTTTTTAACGTTGTCAATAAAGCAGCGAACTATTGGAATATAAAATAAAAACTAAAAACAACCCTAATTTCTAAAAGAAAAAGAGCGCTCGCGTTTTTTGTAAGTTTTTTTTTGCTTTCTGGACCAGAATCCTATTCCTAGTATTAGCGTATAATACTCTGCACTGCTCCGGAACTTTTTTTTTTCTAAAATACGAGTCATATTCTCAGTATTGACACCTAATATAATTTTATCCATAACATTGTCGGTCTGTTGGACAAATCCTCATTTGCAAAATATGCAATGTTTTTTGCTTATAGCTTTATTGTAGCGATTATTGCGTAGTAACCTTTTAAGTCTTACTATTACTCCCATTATTATTTCAGTATTTGTAGCGCGGTATACGAAAAGCTTACAAGACTTTTTACAGTACACGTTTTCAAATTAAGGGGTAGGCTATCAGTATTGGTGTATCATGTCATAATAACAAAATCAAATCTTTTACTTTGCTACAGATATGTGTCAATGTTGCTCCCATACAAGTCAATGTGTGACATATCACGAGCAAACGCAAAACCTTTTATTCGTGTAAAAGAGTTTGGTGATTTTTTTTTTTGCCATAAATGTTATTAATGACGTATAGCTCTATTTGTTATAATAATAGGTCAAAATCGCGCCCAAGTAGTCACAACAATAACAATTGCGTTTTGATCTTAAAATATTAACTAGTAATATGTCAATCATACATATAATACAATGCGATACAATGCGATACAATGCGATACTTCGTATCTTGCAGATGTGGAATATCAGAAATGTTTAATATCATCAATATTGCAATATGATATAGAAATAGATTTTAGTAGAAGCAATAATAAAACACGATTGCTGACAGGAAAATTGTACTAGGTTTGCTGTCCACGTGTTTACATTTATCACTTTAATATACTGTATACAATAGCTCTACTACTGTTTACGACCACAGGATGCTGATAGTAATATAGGGATACGCTTAACGGTGACGTATTCCTCCCTGAATCCCAATATTCGAGGATGGAATGTTGCACGAACAAGCAGTAGTACAATCGTTTGGTCGATCGCACATTGTATGTTCTAGGGGACAAATAAAAGTGTCATGTGTGAATGGCAGAGCTAGTAATGCAGTAATGGTGCGACTAGATCGAGTAAAATCCCTGTCGCTTGTTCGTGCAACATTCAAATGTTGATGATACACTTTCCCTATCAGCATCACCAGGTAAATCTGCAGGTGTGGGAAAATATAAGCAGTCACATGCATGTTAACAATCTTCCATACAGTAATTATTTATATATCACTATCTGATATGATTGATGGTATTATTGAAAATAAACAATTCTGATATGTGTGCCACATCTACATGATTATGAAGTATCGTATCATATTGTATCGTATCATATGATTTGATTGTACTGGTCGTAACATCTAAGTGAAGAGTCCCATTTACTTATAGCAACTTGATAAAAAATAACAATCACCATCACCTGTGATAAGTGCACAGTATTTAGTAGCAAGCATAAGGGTTATAGGAAATTATTACACAAAGTGCCAAAGTTACCATGATAATGAGAATTGCTCCTCCGGGATTCTAGTACACGATCCGGCACACCACACGCAACACAATTATATTTACACAACGGTACTTTACAATTTTATTAATTAGTTAGATTCTGTACAAAGTAAGTGAAGACTGCAATTTCATGACACGTTAAAAGCCATTTCCGGCAGTCATTATAGTGTTTTTATCTTTTTCTGCTTACTGAATTCTTCCTCGGCTTTGCGTTTGCTTTGTTCACTTAATTTCTGCTGTAGCTCCTTCTCATCCAAGAGCAACGATACAATTTCACGAGGCTTTAGCTTGGAGTCCACTTATTTGTCGTGGATCGGCCGCATGTTTCAGACCCGCAATGCGGCTCTCCTCCATCCGACCAACGGCAACGAATACTTTATTGACCGCGGCGGACACGTGTTCCGTCACATACTTCAGTTCTGTCGCAACAGGAGAATTGCACTATTCGGAAGATCCGTCGCAAAACCCCTGTTCCTCTATGCACTGCGCTAACAAGGAAGGAAATAGATATTAGTATTGAAACTGTCAAGCTGTTTAACCGTGTGGCACCAAAACTGATTGTGGCACTTAGTCTGGTAGCACCTGCTGTGTGGCATAAACTCCCGCTTTAGCCTACCCCCAAATTAGTCAAGATTTTAGATGTAATACAGAAGTCACGCTTGCGTCATAAAAAAAAAGCCTTCAATATCCGGCATTCAGTAAAGGAAATGTCGAACCAGCCATCTGCTGCGCGCGTAGTTATCCATCTTCTCTCCAAATTCGGACCTCAAACTACGCAACAACTTCATAAGCATGTAATCCAATTCCCTACATTAGGCAGTACAACTTACTTAAAGCGCAAGGTTCTAGTCCACATGAGTGGGCAGGGATTAATAACCAAACGAAAAGCGAGTAAGGAGGAGCTGAGTGAAAAGGGTTATCCTCCAGCAACACTTATGTGGTTTTGGTATTTGAATCAAAAAAAGATTGATGGCGAAAAGTATAAGAATATGCCAGGTGAAGATGAAGTTGATGAGGCAGTTAAGCAAGTGGATAAAGACTTAACAAAGTTGATGAAAACTAAACTGGAGGCTAAGGAAATGGATTATCGTATTCGCGACGAGAAGAGGAGTAATGGAAAATTTTCCAAAAGATTTTTCGAAGATAAGCGTCAGTTAAGGTCGGATATCGATTAAATGGTGACATCATAAATCATAGTTTTTCTATTGATAATAAAAGTAATTGTATACGGTAATGGCATCGTAATAAAGTACCGTAAATAAGGATTAGGATTTTTTTAGACATTTTTTATTTCTTCTCTCTCTGTTAGTAATAACGATATGAATAAAAACATAGAAACTCAAAAAATAAAAGTAAATAAGCGGTGACGGTGGTTTTCATCGTCGGGAGCCTCCCTTCATCATATAGGAGCCGCCTTATTCATGAAAGTTTACTAAATCTTAATCTGTTAACGATATATCCAAACCAAGCTGACAGTTGGCAAGCCAATAGTTGGAATCGACAAAGTAAACTGAATATGAACAGAATCTATAACATAATAGCAATGGTAAAGCCGTTGCAGTACTGTATTGATGTCACATGCTATAATCGCAATCATTTAATCAATCACCTGCAGTAGTAAATTAACCCTCCCGAAGTTATTTTCTATATATAGAAATAAGTATAATATATGGCTATATATTGAATATGGAAACAATTACATCGCGCAATATTATGATACTATGGATATCTATTGTCACGAACACATCTACTCATACGTATATATACAGGTATTCTCTCTATCGCTTAACAAAACCTCACGACTGAACAAGTCATTAAACGACTTTGCCGGCATTCTACATTATGCGCATATGACACGAACAATTCTGTTACTACATATTACGCACGTACATGACACGCTTCGCATTTTCTCGGTCTGTACACGAACAGATTTCAAAATTTTTATTCAGACACCTCGACCAGCTGGCGACATGGATGGGCGCGACCCTCGACAAGTCAATGATGTTGAAACACTATGCCCATACTCAGAATTCACGACGCGAGAATGGCACGAAATTACCCCTACTGTCTTCCACATCTCTTAATTCCACAGTCGGTCTCAGATTCTCTATTGAAGGAAACATGTTGCCTCAGGCAGTCAATGTGTCCCTGGACGTTAGAATACTTGCAAAGTAAATATAACAACTATAGGGATCGTGATTGCGCTGATAGAGTCGGGTACATGACGAGTGCAGATAAAGTCCAATTAGTTTAAATTCAGTAATAAAATTTTTAATCTGCATGCAGATCACCTCACGAAAGGCCGATGACATTGATCACTGTATTGGACGGCCTCTGCGCTCGTTGCCCACTTCACCGGAGCACCGTACGGGGCTACTGACGCAGGCAAATGATCATTCCGAATCGTAATTCCCGTATACAGCAGCAATATCCAGCCAGACCAGCGAGAGGTATTTTATTCAGACTAGATTCAGTAATAAAATTTTTAATCTGGGCACCAATTCGCAACCAAGTCCTGTGCTGGTTATCCAAGAAATTTACGAGTTATGAAATAAAAGTAAAGGCTAACAGATTGAGTTTTGGATAATCCTATCGAGACAAGAGGTTTTATCGATAAAGAAGAAATCATAGAGATTTTCTCGACACATCTGATTCTGATAGCTATGATTAAGGTAGGAATTCTGTAACATGTGTAATTGCCAAATTCGTAAGAACAAGACATGCCAAGATTGTAAGTCAACTGCGACGCATTCAATCGAATACATACAACGAAAGAATTAACAGATTTTTTATCAAAGTGAGAGACAACCACAATTCAAAGAGAGTGGGCAAATTGATTCGGTCTACGATAGTTTATCTTGGAAAAGATTTTATTGTAAATAAAATTGAAAGCGGCCAATTCTGATTACTATTAATTGCCTGAATATAGCATTACTTAATTCGAGACGAATGTTGTACGTTAATAAACTTAGGATGGATGTCATTATTCGTATGATATCCATATCAATGAAAAATCGACCGGTTCCGTGAGGTTGATGTAAGTGTTATCATCAGCTGTTCCTAATAATCTCGTTTTTTGCGGATTTCACCAGCTGGTCACCATACCATATATACGGAAACGAAATAATCTATAACGCAAGAAAGGTAAACGCGTGTTACAGAATGAATTAGATTTTTTCATAGGACAATAAGATAACCAACATACCCATGAGACCCAATTAAACAGCACGTCTACTATAGCGTTGTTGGTTGGTGCCATTCCATGTGACCCTGCTCTCAGAATATCCGTCAACAGGTCGCTCGTTATGAAAAATTGCCCTTTACGTAATCCTTTGAGATAATATGTGGTTAATAGAAAATTCGCCATTCATGACAAAATCTGGTAAATAAATTACCTTTATATAATGCCGCAGCAATTACTTCGGGGGGTGATGCATCGTCTTCCCCTTCCAATCGTTTCGTTACCTGTGGTTTAGTCTTGTTCTATACATTTCACGTTGGTTTACAAAAAGTGTCTTTAGTTAACTTGTATAATTCGAGTCGCACATTTAAAATCTTGACAAACCTCGGTTTCATATCCAGGTGTTCGAATATTACCCGGGAAAAAGCAATGAACCCCAATATCATACAGGAGCAATTCATTACGGAGGCATTCGGATAATCCTAAAGAAAGCAATTGAGTCTTCTTATTCTATAAGACGATAACCGACATTATCAACGATACCTCTCAGTGCGTATTTGGTGGGAGCATATTCTGAATATCCAACGAATCCGACAAAACCCACTGTAGAACTGACAAACACAACTTTTCCTTTTACACCTTGATGAACCATACGCTTTACACCCTCCTAGCAACACGCATGAAAAGACAATTCAGTTATTGCGGGGAGGGTAAATGCAACAGACATTAGTTACTCACGTGGGCAACAAAAAGAGATCCAAAGTAGTTCAATCTCATTGTATCCTCAAATTCTTTAATCGGCTGCTCGAGGAAAAGCCGAGGATGAGTAGCACCTTATAAAAAAAGAAGAAGAAAAGGACAAAGCGTCAAATATGATGAAGGTTATACGACAAACATGGAATGTCTCAAAGGTCTCTAATCATTACCTGCACAACAAATAACGTAATCGGGTGTTTTTCCATCATGTTTAGCAGTCACCTCGTCAAATGCACGCACAACTTGTGAATGGTCTGTCACATCTGCTGCAACCGAGGTTATTGTTTGGTGAGGGTAAAGCTTTTCTGCCTAATGATTAATGCGATAGGGAAAATTCGGCAATTAAGAAAGAGGCAAATACAACTGAAAAAAAAAAAACAACTTAACAAAAGTCTTTCGAATCCGGATACTCTCTAGTAGGAAAGCTGTAAACGAGTTTTACCTGTATTTCATCGATTGCATTATCGAGAATTTGTTTATTCCTAGCCACAATGGAAACATGCGCGCCCTTCTTGGCTAATAAAATTGCCAGCGCCTTTCCGAGCCCTTGACTACCCCCCGTAATCAAAACATGCTAATTAAAAATGAGAATCAATTCGTTACCGATAGTCCTCCAATCTTTTGCTTGAGTATAATAGCCTTACCTTATCTTTCACGGGGAAATTATCTCTTCCAAACAATTTATTAGTTATAGAACTACCAATGACGTATCCTGCAATCAACAGTACAAACGCAATGACCACTGATGCCGCAGGATGTAGTCGACCAGACAATTCGGAATATGGAGTTAGTTGGAGGATATAATCTATTAGAGACCACATGGCAAGATTCAAAAAAAATCGAAACACAAAATCTAATCCGTGTAGATGTTACCAGTAGATGTTCATGGACGTCATGCGGCTAAATCTGGAAGGACGATCACGCGCCTTCGCGATTTCGTGTTCAGAAACTCCCTGACAACAGCTAGCAACTTTGCAATTTGTGTCACCTGCGCAACTTTTGCGTCGCACACAGGTTTCCTTCCTTTTCTAATAAAATACTACCGAGATTACCGGAACATGTTTCGATAAATTTCGGTAGTATTGGTTTAATGTCTTTTTTTTGGTATCATTGGGACGTCTGTAAGATTGTTATATTATATATATTTACCACTTTTGTTTGGTAGTATTTGGTAATGTTAATATAGAAAGGAATATAGAGGAAGGATTATAGATAGCAGAAAAGCTGTAACAACATTTCCAAACTTCTTTGTCGCGTATTACTAGGCAAGAGATTTGCGTGTGTTGCGTACCGACGTTAGTATTAGTGCGTAAGGGCTCTTGTGAGAACCCTTTGTCAGTCGTTTGGTGGATAAACCGTGTTTTAAGAACTTGCTTTGTGACCTGTAGTATGTGCGTATATGGGTGGTAGCAAGGGCTTGTTACTTACATATTTAAGTAACGTTATGGGGAAGAGGAGGACTTGTACAATGGAAAAGCATCCGATATGTTTACATGCGTTCGGAACTCTCTCATCGGTTATGTGGTCGGTAAACCGTGTTCTTAAGAGTTTCATCGTTAAAGACTTGTAAGTGGCTGGAGAAAAATGTCTGGGTATATATGTGTCTGAGTAGACATGTGTCCACGTTAATTAAACTGATCAGGATGACAGTGATAACAATCGTTTATGCATGATATTGTGTCGTATAGACTGTGAATATATAGTGCTGTATACAGTTATTTATCGTTGCTTTTATGAGCTTAACAAATAAATCCAGTTTATGTTATTTAAAAAACAAAGTATTGATTACTGCGCAATATAACTGACTCAATAGTAAACACCTTAATTGTATCCAGTTGCATAAAATTACTCGTGTCGGTCAAAATTTGCTTATTCTTTATTATTATTGTTATCTTTACGATTAAATTGTCGAGGCCAAAATTCAAAAGTGACTTGGCTTTTTATACTTCCATAACACGAGAAATCCGGAAAGACGATTTAGCAAAAATGTCTGCAGTAGGGAAAAAATAATCTACTTCTCGCTCGGCCGCTATCTGTGAATTAATGAAGAGAATAAAAAAATTAACAGTAAATTTAAAAGTAATATTAAAAAAAAAAATAGTTAATCAAGAATAAGCCAAAGAAATACTCTTCATAGTAAATGAATACATGCAAACCAAATTATATACAATATAGAGACATTCATAAAATCAAATCTGGTGGTTATAAAATACTCTCTGCTAATCTAAAATGGTCTTCAGTTGAAGCGATATATCAACAAATGTTTAAAAGTTATGTATAACGAGGTATTGAATATTAATAACACGATGTTTGCATTTAATAATTAGAAATCGCGTCAAATGTCAGTTATTTCCGAACAATAGTAGTCTCAATACATTACCAACAGATTTTTCAATTTTCGGACTCTTTATCCAATAAATGCGGCAGTTCACAAGCAAGAAAGTCGGTAACATTTATGCCAATATACAAACTTATTAAAGGAGAAGACGAACATGGGAGAATGAAAAATAAATTAATTCGATCACTTTTGGGATATCGATTTTCGAGTTTTAATTTGTTCACCAATTGATAACGTGTTTACCTTGTTTAGATTTAGGCCAGTCTCTCATAGCCTGATGGCACGACTTTCCAATTTCTATGCTGGGCTTTCTGAAATTACGAAAACGTCGTAATTGCCATCCATAAAGAAAAGCCTGCTTCGAGCAATAAAAAAAGTGACCACTGATGCTCAAAGCTGAATAGAAGTAGCTAAATACCTAATAACGCGCTAAGATGTAATAGACGCAAAAAGTTGCGCAGAAATTGAATGCAACAGTATTTTCCGATGATGAATTTATTTGCTGGCGAATCCGCTTATTAGAAAAGTAGCCTCATGCAGGGAATGAATTTTTACTACGAGGGCTCAAACCATCGTAATAAACATTTCAAAGTCTAAATTGATAAATTCCGTATGCACGGAAAATTTAAACGTGTGCGTGCATATTTAATTAACATGTTGATCTTTTCGCCCATATTTAGAGAATTACAAATGTATGGTAAAACATGGTTGCGTTGCAATTATCTAGTAGTTTACGTGGTCTATGAACGTGTGCTGAGAGATCCTAAACGCATCTCATGCGTCTATTACGATATAAAAGAACAGTATATAGTGTCAATCGGATCTTATTAGCAAACACACACAATTTTCAATTGTATAATTGTAAACACATTTATTTAAGCATCAGTCATTTGGCTGAACTTTTTTTTTTGGTGAATATGCGACAGACGTATCAGCTAATACTAAATAAATAATAAATTATCATTACTTTTGTCTACAACTTGACCTTATATATATTTATATACTATTTATATATGCAAGACTTTTATAATGCTGTGATGCGCAGAAGAGGTATCATAAAGGTGGAAGTATATGGTGACCAAGTAACAAATGATGATATTCGCGGAATATCAACCATTCGCCCTTGCAGTGTGTTCTGGCATCGCACACATTCCCCATGAGTGCAGGAGATCGTGTGAACAATTCTCCCTTCCTCCTACCAATAAGCCTATAAAATAATACTAAACTAAGATATATTTGTATGTATATGTATATAATGTATATATTTACCATTATATATCTCATTATCCAAATGAGCCTCAAGCAAAACCCCACTCTACCCATCTCTTTCCAAATTACAATAAACCCAACCCAAAAATCACAGCTTATATATTAGAAACATAAACTCCTTTCTCATCAACACCCAACACCTTCATAACCTGATCGAGCTTCTCTTCCACAGTTGTTTCGCCAACGACTCCGGTTCCACCCGCTGAAACTTCGCCTCCATATATATAATTGCTATCATTCGATGACTGCTCAAATCGATTCAGACCTTTTGACATCTCCTCAATCAGACGAGGGAGTGAAATGTCTTTTGCTATATATACGCTTGTCTGCGGTAATTGATCCAACTGATTATCATTTGACGTGCTGGAAGAGCGTTTTGAGTTCGATGACTGGGAAGAACGTGGTAAGAGATATGAGGAAACACGGGATTGAGATTGTTGAACTCCAGGCAGATGCAACGGTGATGGATAGTTATGATAATAGTCCAAGTGACTATATCGACTGCTATCCTCCGTATCACTATCTTCTCCATTCTTCTTACTGTAATATTCGTCGAAACATTGACTAAACTTTCCCACATTGCTTGTGCGCGTCCCATCAACAACTTGCCAAACATAAGACCCGTCAGCTAATTCGAGCACTTCGACGTGTTGCTGGTGTTCCAACTCTTCCAAGAGAGCATCACTATCAAATAGAACCGAACGTTTAAAGCCATTGTCATCTAGTCCACTATGGGGACGACTACTATAGTCGTTCGAAAAGCGATCGTTTGGAGAATCAACATTTTCAGTGTCATTGTCTTGTCTACTGTAGATACTGTCATTGTCTTGTTCGTTATCGTCATCTTCATGATCAGAATAGTCATAGAAATCAAACAAACTTTCGCCATATGCACTAGCAATGCTCTTTCCGCCAGTAGATTTCCTAAGTCGACTAGTGGATGACAAAGAAGAAGCAACGCTTTGTTTACTAGCTCGTTTAGATGCCACGCTACTTCGATGCGAAAGCAAAGCATCTGAATGAAGCGTGGGGATAGGCGGTATCGGTATTCCGTACGGCGGTTCCAATATGGACTCTCGCGTATTGGGTGATGGCACGGGTGTAGGCGGCCGGTTACGTAATGTCTCGTTTGATACTGGGATGTCCAAGAACTTGGTCGACGTATTCTGAGCATCTTTGTTATCACTCTGGCTCTGACGTACATTCGTCGTCGATTGTACGTCTTCATCTACTCGTGTCAAGTACCACTTTCGACCTTCAGAGTCAATATGTATTCCACCAACATGAAGTTTCTTGTCCAAACCCGTGGCGTTGTCAGTATCATCTGCTGATTTGGCATCGTCGGGCAATGGAGGAAGGACTGATTTTGTAATGATGATCGTACGCCTTATCACAGGGTTCCGTGGTTTAGGAACTTCTGTTGGCGAGTCAACCATCGAATCGGATTGTTCAGCGGGCTGTATAATTGTAGGGATGGAATTGGAATCCATGCCCTGAAGAGAGTTCTTTATCCCACCGCTATTACGATTTCCAAAGTTACTAAATATAGATAGTAATTTAGATGACGTCTTTGAATTCCTGTTGGCGCCTCGTTTAGATTTTTCTGTTGAACTGTCTTTGCTGTTTTGCCTAAAAGCTCCAGTAGTAGGCTTATCTCGCTTGATGGATCCGCTCTTCGAGTTCCTCCGTGATCGAAGAGAACCAAGTGGAGATAGCGGTTGGGGAGTAGTCGATCCCGATACATCTACCGAATTTTGTGACAATGGACTGACAGGAGCAAAACTTGTATTCGAGTCTGAATCAGTAGTATCCCGTACGTCGTCCGTACCATTCTTCCTGAGATTGACGTCTACAGTGAGCTTGGATTGAGACAACCTACTGTCGTTTTCAGTTTCCTGGATAGTCTCCTTGATTAATTCTTTTGAAGCCTTTTTCCCAAGCGATGCTCTACCGGCCGACGCGGAACTTCTGGTCGATGCATTACCCGATTCACCAGATTGCGACGATGTGCGAGATTTCTTTGATGTAGAATATTTAGTGACAGTTTCGGCATGTCTCTTTAATGCGTCAATGTCGTACATTGGCGGTGGACGTGGAAATACAATGTCGTTTTCACCCGTCACTAGAATAGCGTTGTCATCACTCATTGATTTAATAGACATGCTGCGATCGTTATCCTGATAATCCTTGGTTAGTGAGGTGGTGCTATTATTTCTCCATAGGCCATTGTCAGTGTCATATCGACGACTTAAGTTCTCCTCAGAGACAGATTTGCGTGACAAGGTATCATTAAACACTTGCAATCTCAAAACATCATTACTACGTTTCTTTTTCTTTAAACGATTGCCTTCATTATCATTAACAAATACATCTTTTATCCTTCGAATTGACTTTGAAAACGCATTCTCATTCTCACGCAAAGATAATCTCCGCGTGAATGAACCGTATTCGGGGTCTTCATCCCTATCAAGATGAACAATAGGAATTGATTTTACGTTGGATGAGGATGCAATCAGCTGCGGACCAGAAATGTCTTTAGGATTAATGGGTTTCTTGAATCTGCGAGTTATTGATCTTGACCTCTGTTCGTACATCGATACGGACGCATTCTGAAGCCGTCGCATTATCAGTACTTGATTTGCAATATCCACCTGACCACTAGCTATTAGAGTATCAGTGAGCGTTTGTGAAGGTGGTTCTGGTTTGGGTGGTGGTGGTTGTTTGGGAGCTACAAAGTTTGCTCGCTGAGAAAGTAAGAAATTTGTTTGTTGCTCAGAAAGTGAAATATCAGTTGTTTGTTGAGAAGGTAAAATGTCTGTCTGTGGTCGAACATTGGTTTCTGTATTTTGTGGATGCGATGCTGAATCAAACTCCATTAGTTGTGAATCAGGTTTTGTTGTCGCTTGTTGTTGTTGCGTATATAGATCTTCTGAACTACCTACAAAATTCTTAGTTTCGGATGGATCAATTGGAGATTCAAGTACTCGCGCTTGCAGCCTCTGTAACGAATTTGCTATTGATGATCCCGCCGATGATCTGTCACCTGGCTGTGTTGATATGATACCATCTTGTTCCTTGTCATTCGCTGCGTTATCCTCAACCATATTCCTATCAAGATAGGTTCCTTTACCAGAATAACCTTTTGCATAATCCTCGACTTTTCCATTGTTAGTCAAAAAGTCTTCTTTCCGCCTCTGCATGATCTGAACGTTTTCTGCAACAACCCCACCATCCATACCCACCATTGCCTCTTTCTCGCGTCCTGCCTGTTCCGACTCTAAATTTGTTGATTGAAGCGATAACGATTTCATTGTTTGAGAGAGTTTTTCTAACGGAGACTTTGTCTGGAGAGGTCTATCTTTTGTCGGAGGGGGAGAGTAAAGAGCGTAGGAACGTTTAGCTAATGTAGTATGAACGAATCCTGGAAGAGTTGGTGATACTGGAGGGATGAGATTTTGTGTATTTTCAGCGTATGGGTGTAGTTTCTGATCCAAAGAAGCCTTGGTTGGTACAGCAAACCGTTCCGCAGAACGTGATTTTGATAATGTCCTCATTGGCATTTCTGGCAATAGCATTGACGTTGGTGATGGTGATGACAACGGGGGTGATACTTGCGGCGAATAGTCGGGAAAATATGAAGATTCGTCATAGGACTGCTCGTCCGGTGAGTACGCGACTAGAACTGAGCTTTGTGTTACGGGCTCATCACTATACCAATTCGAAGGTAGTGCTATTGGAAACTCTGAATCCTGTGATACTGTGTACATATCGTTTCCATAGTTAGTAGATGTATGTGTATAAAACTGTTCATCTGATCGGGGAATGGAGCGACCAAAAGGAAGAGCAGGATATGTGTATTGCGCATATTGCTCAGGATGTTCGTATTGTTCATATTGCTCAGGATGTGCGTATTGTTCAGGATGCGCATATTGCTCAGGATACGCTACGTATTCATCTGAGTATCCTTGTTGATTGATATATGAAGCGGGATATGGATCCGAATAAGCTTCACCATATGCGATATTTTGCGCTTCCAATTGATCAGCATAGGGGTCAGGAACTGGAAGACCAAAATTATCGTCGCCGACCGCGTAGTCGTTGTCGCTTATTAGATTCGTCTCATGGACAGGTCTTATCGGATCCAATGGGGAATTATCGTCGTCGTCGTCGTCATAATTACGAGTAGTTGAGAAATCATTACTCTCTCTTGCTGTATTTCCAGACATCTGTTCGGTATTTGATAAATTTGATTGTCCTTGTTCTATTTGTTGGTCTTGTTTTGGCATAGCATTCACGTTTGTATTTTTTACCTCTTTCTCTGTCTCGTCCTCGCCCTCCCTTATATTTTCCATAATATTGTCCATAGAACTAACAACGCCGACTACACTTGTTCCCGAAGATCCACTACGGTGACTTGCATCGCTTACAACCCTCGGATACGACTTTCCCACGGTATTGGCATAATACGATTTGGCGTGGGTTAAATCGTTGTTGCTTCCATTAGAAGATGAAATAGATGTGGGCGGAGTATACGAGTTGAATGATGATACGGAAGTCTCGTCGTCTTCATTTATTTCAACCAAATGAGAACGTGCTTTGTGAACTGAAGGCGCATTTGACTGAGACAATGCATTAGATTTATTATTCGTGGAATGGGAGGAGTTGGGAGAATCTTCGTATTCGTGACGAAGGGAAGAGGTCGGTATATGAGATTGTTGTATTGGGGAAGGGTTGTGGGATGCATTCGTTGTCTTTGTCGATATGTTGTCAGCATTATTGTCAATGTCTTGGACTATTGTTTGCTCTTCGGGCTGTTGAAGAGTCAATGATGGTGTTTGTCCACGCCTTAACACGCTAAATCTTTTCGTGAGTTGAGGTAGAATGAGAGAGGTGCGAAAATCAGACGCGGGTAGTTCGGGAGGCAAGGACGGTACTCTTGCTTGTTGTGATTCATCTCCGGATTGTTGGCTTTGCTGTTGTAGTTTTTTTAGGTCTTGCTTCTTTCTGAATTTGTACATTACTTGAATGTGTTTTTTGTCTGAAATGTGAATGTTCTAAGTGTATATGCTTCTATGTATGCTTTGTCTTTACCTACTATGAAATATTTTGTTGGGGATGGGATGGGATGGATGATGTATGATAATGCGATGGTCGGGTTAGTGAAGCATTTGTGTCGAGTTATGTATTGTTGATGATAGTATTGTCTTCTGGAAAAGGTCTAAGCGAACTTTATATTTTGGGCAGGGTTGTTGTTGTTGTTGTTCTTCTTGTTGTTGTTGTTGCTCCTCTTGTTGTGCTTTCGTTGTTCTTTTTTTTTTGTTATTGTTGAGGAGTGGTGATAATGATGGTGTGGTGATGGTGGTGTTGTCGTCGATGTATGGGATGAATGTATGCTGGTCAGAGTTAAATGGGTAATACTTGTTTCTAAAAGTGGGAATTGGACACAGCAGCAAAAAAGAGACGGAGAATTTGTTTGTATACAAAAGAATGACTATAAATATTGAACGGAAAGTAAAGGAAGGTGAAAATTGGCGACGGAGAGAAAGGATAATAACGACTGATCGAGAGCCAGTGAGACAAATGGTTAATTGTGCGTATATTTGCTCTGATAAGTAATAAGTACAATTTGTGATGAATTTTACTGAATAGTAAAGTATACGTAAGACGTAATTAATATTAATATCACTATTATAAATAATGATGGAATAGACTATGTATTATAAACTCATTGTTTACGTTTTAGTATATTAAATATAATAGATATTTCACAAATGATCACACGTTTTCTCTGTTGGTCCAGCTTGAGAAACTACCCTTATGAATTCGAATATAAATTCCAATTTGAGATGTCGAATATTTTGTTTGGGACATTTTGTTTCCCAAACAAGCTTGAAACACAACGAATTGTGCTGCTGCAACGATGAGAATAGAAATAATTACTACCACAGTGAACGAGTAATCATGCTAATCAAAATAATATATAATATTATTAATATTCCCAATTACCACCAATCACAACAGCGAGAAAATAGAGGATGTGCTAACGTCATCATATTCTTCACCCGAAATGATCAGACAGCCACATGGGTAAGTAACAGCATCCGCATTTAGTTAAAAGCATTCGGTTGCTGACTAAAAATAACTGGCAAAATCCGGGCGCTTTTTTCCTTGGAGAGAGTAGTTCACACAACACAAAAAGGGTTTGATCAAGGATGACATAGCCGATGGCAGATAGCTAGGGCATGGGGGGTAGGGAAGAAGGGAACAGGAGAGGGGGGAAACAACACGTCATGGGACACTACGAATCGGCTATACGATCATCCCTCCCCATCCAATAATAGCAATCACAGGGTTTCTACCTAAAATGCTAAACACGATACGAATTGGAATGTCTTACAAACAATCAGCAGCTTAATTACTACACAAAGTATCACAAAATCCAGTTCTTTATGAAAGAACAATGAAATCTCAAACAGGACAATCCGTTATATCGCAGTATTCACTGGCTAGACCTTATTGCAGATCAAGTTCACAACGTAGTGCTCCTGCTGAGCGAACAGGTGTCAATTCGTGCAACCAGCAAAAAGTTACTGGATCACACCAATTTAAGTTGCTCCATTCGCGAACGTTATCCTTATTAAGGATAGTAAACGTTCTGACATGATTGTGGCTGGATAACTTAAACAAGAGATATCGAAATATTTATATTGTGTCACCGATGTTGTTTACATGGTATACAGTCATGCAGGTATCGAAAATGCGTTAATAATCTTATCTAATAAACATTTAAGAATAAGGTTTGGATACTTTAATATGAATTCAATTTCTGCTTTTATGGGTGAGTTGGGCACTACAACATGTTGTATTGCCATCTGTTCCCGAACTCGTGTAATGCGTTTGCAGGAACATCAGAATATATTTGTATAAACTAATCACCCAAGTTTATTAAATTTCATTACATATGCTACTGTCATAATCTTTTGTACCATCGTTTCAATGCCTTCTTTTGTGAAAAGTGGTGTTCCTCGAATAAGAAAATGCTTCTTTTTTCATGAGGCTGTCTCACAGATTCGAGTAATTAATCTTGAATGTATCGTTTATCATGTTTCCAGTGTGACTGACTATCGAATCGAAAAACGCAGCGTCGTGCATCGTAATGCTGTGCGTATGAGTGAGATCCAGCAGCATCGTAACGCACAGACACATTCTAACATGGAATTTGTTTATGGAAGACTGTAAAGAACGACCCCCGACTTTCGCTCTTCAACGAGTCTAATTGACCCGTGCCGCTAAAACCGTTGGCAGTGTCTATTAAATAATTCGAAAAGTTATATGACGTTCGACGTTAATGGTAATATAGCTTGTTGACAAACACTTTTACTTGAAACCCTTTTACGCTTTTCAATTGAAACAACTCAACCGAGAGAAACTCTAAATTGATTGATAACTATGAATGTATTAACTTTGTGGTATTTACCAATACCAGAGTTGCTGTTTATTCAATTAATGTCTGATTCATTAGTACGCTCAGTATGTAAAGGTCCGGTTTTAAGAATTAAAACAAATATTAATATTTTTAGGTTTCAGAAGTGGAATTTTGGGGCTAGAATGAAAACAATAACTATGCATACTATGCATCAGCCCCATTTGTGCTTATTGAATATGTATTTCCAAGTACGTAATTACGATCGTTATAAAACTCAACGTAATGATGTCATTGCAAAGACAGACTGTTAAAAAAGTCTTGCATTGGTCCGTGTAATATTAACATATTTACCAATACGATAAATCCCTCCCTAGTAATAGAAATTTGTCCTTCGCAAACTATTAAATTATCTAATTGGTCAACAATTGATTTGAGGCTTAACTGCGCTTATCGCAACCTTTTATCTTTCCCTAACGTAACTAAATCAAGTATTTGATACTATCGAGTTTGTATGACGAAGCTTCAATGTACGATAACTACCAACGAGTTACGGCTCGGCTTACTTTCTTATCTTGATTTGTCTATGCATAAAGTCGCAATTATCGGTGAATCTAGGAAACTTTATGTTTACTGTAACGAGGATTTAATTGTGGTTTGTTTATTACATTAAAGTTAAAAACCAATAGAAAAGACACGGGTGCAGTTTATAGTAAAACGGCTTGAAAGTTGGCTTTTCAAAATATAACATATTGGGGATGTTTATACTTGGTATGAAAATATTTATGTGACGAGAGTCATTTCCGACATCGTGGTCTCCTGGATACAAATGCGATTATTTATTACTGTTCCATGTATATATGCATTATGTAAAGACAACGTAGCATCCGATTTGTTACAACAAGCGAACTGGTCGGAAGTATTCCTCCAACAGACAAAATGCCGGTAAAATATCATCGAATGTATGCTATATAAACAATGTTTATGTAGTATCTGAATAATGTTACTTCATCGTATTATTATGGCTTCACATGTAACAATCTTCTTGCTGTCGTATAATTTCATTGGAAATAAACTGGTTCGAAAAAAAAGTTTACTTTTGATTATTTGTGATTCCCGGAATTTGTTGGTACACACAGTGGACACAATTTATGATTTGTTCGGGATGTGGCTGAGAAAATGTTTACTTGAATCTAATACCCGATACTACATCGGCGGCGCAATGACAACACTGTTTTAGCTATTACTATCAGCCGAGAGCGACTTGGCTGAAAGGCTTTCATTGCGATTCCATAGATGTCTACCGCAATAAACCAAGATGCAGATAATGCCAGTAACTGGATGAGTGTACATTATAGGTCAGTTGTGTTTCCGCATGCGAAGCTAGCTATTATTGTCAATAATTCAATGTTTATATTGGACTTGGTAACCCTGTAGTACAGTATATCCGAGTGTGATCAAATTACAAATTCGCGTGCGGGGAAAAGAAAGTCAGAATTGTCGAGTATGCGTACACAGGTGTGTTATCGGTGAATCAAAATTACTCTGGAGAATCGTTGATAGAATACTCAACGATTATCACGATTACTTTGGAATGCAGTCGACTGGTCAACAATATCCAGCTACGTCAAGCGGAAGCAATCCTCAAACATTAATTACATAGTCATGTTAGTACTATTCCTTTGACTGTAAAATGGCCGGTGAGAGAGTAAGAGCATCGCAAATAAAAAGGTTATCGGATGCAAGTCCGTCAGGAGACATCTCCCGACTATTGCTGGCTTCAATTTAGTTTGGACAAGCATGTTATTGCAGCAAGCTCAAATTGAAATTGAGAAATATGTGTCTTCTCAGTCAAAAGAGAAATGAGCGGCAGGAACAAAATATCAGCTGAAGAATATAGTGACGGGTGTTTGAAATTACTTAATATGGGCATGCTGCAACAAAACTTATGGACTTGTTAATTTAATGTTCACTTTATCATACCAGAATGTGATGAATATAAACCACAACATGATTAATATAGGAGTATTCCTATATAAAATATAATATTCATATGAAGTTAATTTACATTAAATCCACTAAATTACAGCACTATTGGAAGTATTTTTTTAAAAAAAAAAACAGGGTAAAAAAATTGCACCTTATGTTTTTAAAATGAATGATACCAAAATTCTCCAGGAATATCTAAATAAAGAAAGAATTACTTATGAAATTTATCAGGAGAAAGGAAAATTATGACTAATAAATGAACATTAATCCCAAGTTATGATAAACCAAGAAAGAAATGAAGGCTAGAAACATTAAACAAATAGCTGCTTTATTATTATTATTATTATTATTATTATTACATATTAATGTCATAAAAGTCTAAGAAATAATAATCACGTACCTCCAGCCATTTCAAATAGTTTTGAGCAATGCTCGAACACAAGCTGGAACAACGAGTAACACACAAATTTGATCCAAACTTTTAACAAACACTTTGAAGAGTTGTTCAAAACCCAGCCCAGTCTCCAACTTAGCAATATACTTGACAAAGGCACTTAGTGACCACTGTGAGGCAGAGACACTCTTAAAAAATTCGTGAATGCAAAG